TATGGTATAGCAAAGGTGATCTTTTGTCCAATTCCCAATAAGTTCCTCATTTCTATCCAAGACCTCATCATCCACATGGTCTTTACTGTGCACATTTCTATCAGCATTCTGATCACAACCATTTAACCAATCTCTAAGATATTCCAAACATTCTCTCATCTTTTTGTCTTCTAAGCCCTCCAAACTCCTCCAACCTTTGCCCATTACCCAGTTCCAAAGCTGCATCCACAATTCCTCAGTACCAATTTTCTGTATTACTCCATTTTGTGTTGCTATAACAGAACTACCTGAGACTGGGTAATTTATAAAGAACAGAGGTTTATTTGGCTTATGATTCTGGGACAGCTGCATCTGGCACGGGCCTCCAGCTGCTTCTACTCATGGCAGAAAGTGGCAGGCAGCTGGTGGGTACAAGCAGATCACATGGCGAGAGGAAGCAAGAGAGAGGGAGAGAGAGAGGAGGTACCAGGGTCTTTTAAACAACCAGCTCTCACAGGAACTAATAGAGCAAGAACTCACTCATTAATCCCCCCTCCCCCAGGGAAAGCATTAATCCATTCATGAGGGATCCACCCCCATGATTAAGTCAGTTTCTAACACTGCCACATTGGGGATCAAATTTCCACATGAGTTTTGGAGGAGACAATACATCCAAACTCCATCAGTACCCTATATCTGTACATAGCAAAAGCCAACATCCCAATTTCTCAGGCAGAGAAAATCTTTTTTTCCAATCCCTTCCCTGGCTCTAGGTTTCTGATGGCATAACTTAGAACAACAAGCTAACACTTTAAAATTAGTCTTTATAAAAAGGATTCAAGCTATTAAGTCACAGGCAACCATTCTCCTTCTCCTCAGTTTTAGTTCAGAGATTAAGGGTGGGCATTTTGACTGTTTTTAATATTAACCAGGAACAATCCCTAGGAGAATAAGGGAATATATATTAATAGAATAACAGGATGGCAAGAAAAATTGAGCCAGTTAACACTATTTATTGAGTGTCTAATATGTTCCAGGCACTGAGCTAGGCACAAAAGGAAACAAAATCAGATACAGCTCTGCTCTTCTGAAACTTACAATGCTAGTGGGAAAAAACATCTAATATTCACAGAAGCAAAGTGAAAATATTAAGTGACAAGCACCAGGAAGGGGTAATGCAGGTGCTATGAAACTAATATGCCACCTAGTAGGGAAGTCAAGGAAGTTTTCCATGAGGCTGCCACTGCAGAGCTGTGATCTGATGGGCCAGAGAGGGTTAACCTGGGAAACAGAGAAAGAGCATTCCAAGCTGAGGGAGCAAGCCATGCAAGGCTTTGTGATCACGGAAAGCCCTGACAAAGGACTGAAAGAAGGCTCATGTGCCTGGGACTGCAAAAATGGGTAATACTTTGGAGTAAGATTAGGTTGGAAAGGCAGGTAAGGCAAGACCATTTAAAAGTTTCATGCAGGAAGAGTGTGAGTCTCAGATTTGCATTCTGAAAAAAAAAAAAGAATCACTTTGCAGTATAGAGAATGGATTGGAATATTACAAAGGCTTGAGAGGAATTGTCAACTACCTGCAGTACCCATTTGGAGACAAACAATTGATATGATTACTTAGAGCAGCAACTTATCTGTGTGTTTTTAACATAATTTTGAACTAAATGAATACACACACAAAAATAGTTAAAAATATCAAATAGTACTATACTATTAGGCAGGCTTATAAAAAATAGAAGTCCCCTAACCATCTCTCCTCACACCCCTTGCCCTTCCACTAAGGACCCCTTCCTCCACTCTAAACTATTCATCCGGTATTCCCTCCCCACCTCTCCCTGCTTTTTAAAATTGTAATATGCTTAAAGTGCTATTTATTTTTCAGTTTTAGACATTGTATACTTCCTACTATGGAAGAAAAGAATTTTGCACTGTTACCCCCCCGCCCCCCAACTCTATTCTTATCTTGCCAAAAGGGAACATTCAAAGCATTACCAGCATTTCCTTTTTAGGTTTGCCTTATAAGAGAAGTACTGACTCATTCATTACCTGAAAAATCCATCAATCGGTAAGGACAGAACAAGTACATTTCACTATAAATTTATACCTTTGTGAGGCCAAAGTACCTTCACTGTACATCTGCCAGTGAAGCAGGAAGGATTTTTACCTCTTTAAGTGAAAAGTATTCCATATACTTAGATATGGAATAGACGATATTCCATATATATCATCTATTGATGGAGCAGCAAAAACAGGCCACTCCTATGCTGCTGCTAGGAGTGTAAATCAGCATGAAAACAAGTGGCGATTCCTACCCAGAGTCTAAAAAAATAATCAGATGAATCAGATGTTTGACACTCACAGAAATCAAATTCAAGGAAGGAAATACTCAGGTATACAAAGATTTGTGGACAAGAATATTCATGATAGTATTATTTATAACAGAAAACAATGTCAATGCCCCAAATAGGAAAACGTACAAATGATACTACATCTATAGAATGGAGTAATATAAAATTATTAAATTCATGCTTTCAGAGAACATTTAATATCATGGGATTTATAGCCTAAACCACTTTTGAGAACCGGAAAGGGCATTTCTTTAAAAATATAAAAAAATCTAAAAAAATAAGCAGGTATCTATGTATTCCTGACAACTGAAGGTCAGTTTAAGGGATGGCTGGTTAGCTCACTTGGGAGAGCATGGTGCTGAGAACACCAATGTCAAGGGTTCGGATCACTGGACCAGCTAGTCACCAAAACAAACAAAAAAAAAGCCAGTTTAGGTCAAACAAAGCACTCTATTACGTGTACACGGGGAAATCATTACTTCAATAAATTGTGCCGATAAAAAATACAAATATAATAGGTTTTTTTTGTGTGTGTGTGTGTCTTTTTGTCTTTTTTCATGACCAGCAACGGATCGCAACCCTCAGTGTCGCGCCCGTACCGGACCGGGACCGGCAATGGGATCGCAACCCTCGGTGTTGCCCCCGCTCCTCGCTCAGCCAGTCTGTATGTGGGATCCGAACCCTTGACGGGAGCGCCGCCGCGCTTCCCAAGCGGCGCACTGTAGCAGTGCGCCACCGGGCCAGCCCACAAATATAATAGTTTTGAGAGCCATAAGGAATAGTGTTTCTCAATGTTCCAAGATGTTCCCTAGCAAAAAGAAGATTCAGTGATCAAGTAAGTTAGGGGCACAAATACATGTTATAATCCCTTCTCCCCTCTTAGAGTCATATAACCATGAGTAAATTACAGGTTTTGAAATCCAATATAAGCTACATTCTTAATTCTAGCTCAGCAAATTCTTAGAATGTTCTTATCATTAAAAACAAATTCAGGCCACAAGAGGGTCTAGGAAGAATTCTCACCATGGACTGATACCCTAGACTGGATTCAATGTATCAATCGTTTCCAAGTTCCCACAGACTCTGAGGGCTTAGCCCACATATATTTATAAAGCCTGATTCTAAGGGCACAGCTCAAGTAATGCTCAAGAACAGCAAAACTGAGTGTCAGGCCACAAGATGAGAATTTGAAGGAACAACATATTTACTTTTGTTTACTTATCTGTCTCTACCCCTAGACCACAAGCTTAAGGCTGGAATTTTGTTCTTTTGTTTTTAATGTTGTTTATTCTTTTATGTTCTCCCAATACAATAAAGCTTGGCACTTACTTGGTCCTCAATGAATATGACACCGCCAACCAGGTGGCTTAAATTTTTTTGACAAGCACGGTAATAAATGGGCTAGACAGAGAAATATGTCCCAAAGTTTGCACACTCGTGATATCAAGGCTTTCTTTCATTCAAAGAACATTTCTGAGTGCTGACTACAGGTGAGCATTTCTAAGAATGAAGAGGTGACTAGGACATGGGGCTCCATGCAGTGTAGATACTACTCCTGGCCATTCCCTCTTGTACAGGTTTGACCACATAGCAGGTGTCTCATTAATGCTCCTTTAAATTGATCTCAGAAACCAAGACACACTTTAAGCCTGGTCAAACTTTGGCAGTTTGGGGCCAGACAGTCTAGAGTCAGACAGAGGCAGATCATTCTGTATCAGGATGATTGAGATATTAAGTAACCAAACCTACTGTGATCATCACTATTTTGGAGTCTCCATGACCAGCCAGGAGTCAAAAATTTTGACCAGAGAAGCCCCAGAATGCAAAGGAATGTAATACTACCCACTAAGTCAATGTTTCTAAATATGTGTATGGTAAAATTCTCTAAGTTCTTGAGATATTGATAGATAGTATTTGGTGAGACAGGACTGAGAAAGGGGTTAAACAGGGTTGACAGGCCCCTGTACTGCAGAATTTTTTTTTTTTTTTTTTTT